CACACACACACACACACACACACACACACACACACACACACACACGAGAGAGAGAGCGAGAGAGCAATGAGGAATGAAAGAGTAGGATTAATCCAAGATGACTGAATTCTTTGTCTGAAGAAGATAGCAGTGGAGAGACAAGGAGAATATAAAACACTTCTTGTTGAGGACACTTGTCTTTGCCTCCACTGCATGTGTTTATTGTTCTACAACTGGACAAAACACAAAAATTGCCAACTAATATTCACAGAGCAAACTGTAATTTCATATCACAGTTACAAAAATAGCATGTGGCACATTTGAAACACGAGTCTGAGCCTCAATGAGTTTATTTGTTATAATAAATAAGTGAGGATGATTATAAAGCAAGCAAGGATAATCAGGTTTATCAGCCATGACTCATCATTTTTATGTTTGTATCTACTGTGCAGCAGGAAGTTATATAAACAGCCTTCTGTTGCTGTTTCTTTTTTAACATTTCAAATCCCTTCCCTCCGCTTTTAAACCAGCCAATCGCAAACACTAGCTGAAGAACAGGAAGTGAAGTCAGTGTTTATGGTCATCAACTAATACTGTATGTCCTGCTGCAGCGCAGACTGCTGCTCTCCACGTAGCATCTGGCTGAAGTATCAGGGTGACGCAACAGCTGCTTCACTGCCCAGTCATCACATCACTGCTACGACTTCAACCGATTTCATTTTATTGAGAGAGGAAACACAAACTGAGTGCAAACCATGTTTTAAAGAGAAACCAGTAAAAGGGAGTTAACTAGGGAGGAAAAGACAGATGAGCTCAGAGACAACTCATCCTCTAGTCATGCTTTTTTTTCCACATGATCTTATGATTAGAGTGGTGCTTCAACCCAATAAGGGTGGGGTTGTGTGCATGAACTAAAAAATGTTATTGTAGCTACATTCAAAAGCAGCAACTAGCTTTGTAAAAACATTACATATTAAAAATAAATAATAATCATCTATGTGCAGTGCTGGATACTGTCATTTGTCCTTATTTTAATATGGCCAAACAAAGTAAAAAAAACCCACTGAACACTTTTATCAAGAATTMTTTTAGAGAACATAAAGGGTTTTTTTAATAGAGGTATTCAGGGCACAGTAAGGTGTACAAACCCTGAGGGGTACAAAGATGTACAATCAAAACAATGTTTAAGAGGAGACAGACAGTAGGCTCTGGACAGACAGACAAAGGCTACTCTCGTCCCCAGCGGCTCTCCTACAGATTTGCAGACATTAAAGTGAACAGCATCTATTGTTCCTCTTCAAACCAGACAAAGAAATATTATCCAGGGGTTTTCTATGATCTGCTCCAGACACTTACTAGACAACGTTTTATCAATTATATGAGCTAGGTTTTGCTGGTCTTCAGATTTCAGCATTTTTTTTTGAAATGATACTTTATTTTCCTCTTTCACAATCTTACTTTACTGTTTAAAAAGATGCTCATTCAGCCTCTAAACTCATGCTTACCCAAAGGATTTACCTCAAAGGATTTACTTCATAACACTTGTGCAAATAGAAGGAAATAGGATCAGGAGCATTATTTACACTCAACTCTTTAATTAATGTCCAAGAACCAAAACAAACAAACAAAAAAAACCAATGAAATAATGTGATTCCTTGGCTCAAGTGGGTCACGTTGCCGTGATTTTCTAAATCTGGAATTATGAAAGATAAAATGTCCAATTTAAACATAAAAAAGGTACCAAAGGAAGACRATCTATTATGGCACACAGCATAACATTTTCAAAAAAGATTTTGATGAATGCTGCCACTCAAAATATAAACGCAACATTAATCTGCAGGATCAAACCATAGAGAGATAATAAATCATAACTCTGTCAGTAAATGCCACAAGTCAGCAAATACTTGTAAAAAATCTATTTATAGCTTTACGTATCATAGCAGGGATAGTCCATGCAGCAAGGTGGTGAAAAAATAAAACTGTCCAATGCAGCAAAAAAAAAGACCATATGGTGCAGAAAAATCGGCCACACGCATCACATGAACAGTTGGCAGGAAAAGAAATCTAACAAGCGAACACCTCCATTAAACCAGCATGAGCCCTGCTTGCTTCATTGTTATTTCCAAACACCACCCCCCCCCGGCTTTAAGACGTAAACCCACCACATGCTCTGTCACCCATGTGTTCAGACGGCCCTGCAGACCTGCATATGGATTTTCACAGTTCACAGATGCTGACGATTCTGAGAGACAGAGATTTAAAAATGAAGCATTAAACTGGGCACAATGGTTGGAAGTAAAGTCTTTACTATTTTGGAACAAGCACTCGTAATGATTAAGAGTCCATAAAACATGTATTAACAATAATCCACAATTATAACCCTTATGACTCACAAACAGTGTAGTTATGTGATTAATTCTCTAAAAGATGAGTGCATAACTTAAATATTGAAACACATTAAACTGTATACTCTAGTTTTAGAAATCTTGGTAATGTGTTAACACATTTACATTTATGTGTACCCTTGAATAAGACTTTTCCAGTACATTAKGTATACATTTGCTCTGCAGAGACCACTCATGGCTCCTGCTG